ACCTTAGTGGATGAAAACCTTGACTGACTGCATTTGTTTTTGGTCTTGTGATGCATTTTATAGAGCACACTTTGAGATTGTGCAAGCCCTACTTGTGTTTTGGGTGTTTTAAAAGTCGTAGTATTGCATTACGTGTCACTGAAACAGCTCATCTATCAGCAGGAATAAAAGTTTGAGAGAAAAAAAAAAAGGAAGAAATTAAATCTGTACACCGGTTGTTTCAGAGGCCTTAATCCGAGAGGGGGGGGGGGAAAAAAAAACAGTATCTGATATTATAATTTTTTTTTCTTAAGATTTGACGTTTCTCTTTTTAGTGTTAGAAAACACTAAAATGTGTTTTATTTCCTTTTTATTTGCAGCATTCATTTGGTTGTTTAGTTAACGTACGTAATCCTGAGAAAAATGAAAAGTAGTTCTTTATATTCAGATTTCTTTTTGTTTCTTTTCTCAGTTCATACATGTGTGAAGTATATTTTTTTATAATATTGAAGTAATATATGTTAACACTCTCCGCAGAAGATTATAACAATTCTGGGTCGTGACGGATACATAAATGTGTTATCATGCAAATCTAAAATTAGCCTTTTCTCTGTACGTGGAGTATTTGTAACAGACTGCTGACACCGACTCATCTTCAGCGATGATCTGGCTGGAAGGTCTGGTGTTCTGCAAATCTCTGCTGCTGCCATGGAGGTGGGGGTGGGAGGGGGCAAACAAAGAAACAAAACGCAGGTACCTTGCAAAACATCCTGAATAATTACATGATTTGGTCTTACAGACATCCTAATATCTCCTCTTTGTCACTGAAAGAATTGAAATTCCTATTTTTGATAGCGATCGCAAAGTGTGCCATTTTAAGACCTCTTCACCTTTGGGTTTGCTACCTTTGGGCTGAAGAGATTTCAAAAAGAAAAAAAAAAGCTACAAAAATCAGTAAAATATGCACAAAAATAAAAGACCATTTTTATGTAATTTTAATGTTTGCAGTTACCTCATACACCGTACATTCCAAAAAGATTTGTTATACTATACATACTACCAGACATATCACTTTACAATGTTCGTTATGGGAAAAATGTATAGTCGTAGATATGTATCTAAAGTGTATCTGTATAGCCATGATATCTAAAAGAATCCATGCACAATAAAAGATTTATAATTCTTCATCATGGTTGAAGTTTGAACGTGTCCGTCTTTGGTTTTGTATTGGTTCGAATGTCTGAAACTTTTTTTTTAATGTATTTCATCATTATTTAAGACTGATAAAGACAAACACTGGTGTCAAAAAATAATTTTTTTTTGTTTAAAGCTACCTTACATATTTCTTAGTCTTAGTTCTAAATCTGCAATGCAAATCTGTTTCAAATGGTCTAAAAGGAAAAGAAGGAAAATTAATTTTCTAGTCACCTTTTTATAAAAGGAAATTTTCCACCCCTAACCGCTTATTAAATCTTGAAACGGTTTAGCAGCTTTGTTAAGTTCAGTTTTATTAACACATAGATTTCAAGAATTGGTTAAATTGCGCCTTATTGAGAACATGAACTGGGCTAAACAGTCTTAAGCCCTCATTTTGGGAGTTTTGGATTTATTTTTGTCAAAAGACATATGACAAATATCAATTTTAGAGCAAAGGGCAAGGTGAGTTTATTTGTATAGCACAATTCAGTAGATGGGCAACTCAAAGTGCTTTACATAAATTACATATTAAAATAGAAGAAAATCAAACCCTGAGTAAAAGGAAATAAAGACAAAAACAAGATGTGTTTGCATTTAGCAGCCGCTTTTATCCAAAGCAACTTACAAAGTAGACAAAATGTTACAGTTATCAATATGATGGTAAGTTCTCTAGAGGAAAATCCCTAGTCAGAATCAGTAGTGACAGCAAAGAGGGAGAGGGGGAAGTAGAGAGGCATGGGTAAGAGTTAGGATAGGAGATGCTCTTTGAAGAGGTGGATCTGAAGATGGACAGGAATGCTGCTATTCTTGTAGCGCTTGGTAGGTCATTCAACCATCTTGGAAGAACACATGAAGATAAAAGCAGGTAGTAAAATAAAACGGTTTATCTTCTGTCAAAGGCGGTTCTAAACAAATTGGTTTTTAACTTTGACATGAAAGAACTCAGGCTTTCAGCACTTTTACAGTCTTCCGGAAGTTTGTTCTTGATACGAGGCGCATAGGAACTAAGTGCTGCTTCTCCATGTTTGGTTCTAGTTCTTGGTCTACGGATTAGGCTTGAACTAGAAGACCTGAGTGGTCTGGGAGGTTGATACACTGACAACAAATCTGTTATGCATTGAAGGGCTGATCCATTCAGTGATTTATAGACTAAAAGAAGGATTTTAAAGTCTATTCTCTGAGCCACAGGAAGCCAGTGGAAGGACTTCAGAACCGGGCTGATGTGCTCTACTTTCTTAGTTCTAGTGTGAACACAGGCAGCAGCATTTTGTATCAGCTGCAGCTGTCTGATGGACTTTTTAGGCAAACCTATAAAGAAACTGTTGCTGTAAGCTATTCTACTAAAGATAAATGCATGAATGAGCTTTTCAAGCTATTCAGCTACCTTTTATGTTATAATCATGTAGTAAAAGAGAAGTATTTCTCCAAATGTTTGCCTTCCGCTGTCAATCCAGCAACATCCTATCTTGTATTTCAGAAAAGTTTTTTCTTTTTATGTAACCATAAATAAAGTGAGTTGCAAAGGACTCCAGAGCTGTGATGTAAAAATGATTTCAGGCCCTGGTTACTTTTTATCTGGGTTAATAGACTACAATAGAAAATTATTGATCTCCGAATGCAGAAATTCACTTGTGGCATCGGCTCTTATAAACAACAGGAGGTACAGAAAGGAGGAAAGTATAGACGGTGTATCCAGATATATACAGTGGATGGTAAAACATAAAGGAGGGATTTAAGGTGTCCTATACATATATATATATTATCTTATATACAGTAAAGTGGTGTTAAATAGGTAAATAGTATCAGTTATTGCACCAGGTTATGGTGCAGTGGCATTGTAAAGTTGCATTTTTGCTTTATTTGTTTTTAGTTTGATTTTCTATTTTGTTGGTGTTTAATAGTAATCAGCCAGAATAGTCTGTGTGGTGTGATTTTGTTGATGCTCCAGTCTTTTAAAGCTCTTTGATATTTGATGTTTCAAATCAACAAATTTGCACTTCAAACCAGTTTGAAAGTAATCCTAAACTGCAGAGCCTGTTGAAAATGTAAATATCTCAGCTGCAGGGTAGACGGAGTTTATTTGAGGAAGCATCACGAAGTTTCTGCAAAAAGATGCAACATTTCCTGTTCGCAGCCTGAGCACATCCAAATGGTGTAATCGCAGCCTCCATGATGGATGATGGTGAGAGTGGGCTCACACCTCATGCTAACTGCATTGTTCTCAGCATTGCCTCTCGGTGAAAGACGGATTGGAAGCTCCTGAAAGAAAACATGCAAGTTTTCCCTGTTGTGTTGCTTTGACATGAGCAAATGACAAGAGGGGGAGGGGGGCTGCAGCTGACCCTCTGAGGTCTGAGTGCTCATACGGTTACTTCAGTTCATACACACAATAAACCCTGATGTCAGGTGTCTTTTGCTGCAACGGTTAGTTTATTTCCAATGCGTGGAAAAGCTCTGACCCAACACAAGACAAAAGTCACGGCAAACATCCCGTCTTCAGTGACTGATGCTGTTTCTGGACATAAAAATGGAAAACCTGTTGATCAGGAACTAAAAATACACCTTTGCTTTGTAGGATAGACTAAGATTAATCTCCAAAGTGAAGAAATAAAACATCTTAAACAAAAATGTGTGAAATGGTATTTATACATCATCTTAGAAACCCTGTGTTTTATTGAGCTTTGATGAGAACCAAACTTGTAGATACCTTCACCATTTCAACAAGTGTTGAAGTGGAATGAACAGATTTTAAAACGCAAACGAACGTTAGGAGGAAAAATACGGAATATTTTAAACTACTTAAAGGAAAACAAATATAAGTGGCAAGTTGAATCATTTATCAAGCATAAGCTATGTAAATCCAAATATAAATGCATCTAATAAACAGTGGTAGTTCTAGATGAAATATATCAGGGGGGCATGATGGGGCCTGTGTTGTTTCTTTTTTGGGGTGGGTGGGGGGGGCATAGAACTAAATAACACAAACACACACAAAAAAAGATAAGATGAAAGTGTTTAGTACTATAAGTGAGCCAAAAAACCCAGGTTGCACACTTGATAAACAGATAAAAACTGTGATCATAATTGTTAAAGTAAATTGTCCTGGCAAAATATTAAATTGGTCCAATGTACAAATTAGTACAAGTATCTTCTTTCATTGCATATGATCATTAGAAATTGATTTAGTTGTAGTTAAAAATAATTGCATCCGCTAATTGCATCATTTTTTGTGTGTGTGTTTTCAGTTCAGGGTCCATAAACGGGGCCAGAACTATTTCTAAAGGAGCACAAGCCCCTGTTGTCGACTGTCTAGAACCGCCTCTGTTAATAATCAAAAAATAATGGCACCAATTTAAATACATACAAGTGTAAGATATGCAACTGTTTGGTAAAAATGTAGATGAAATACAAAAAATTACATAGATTCATAATGAAATGATAAATATAGATGATTATTACCTTATTACCCGATTATTATCAAATGAAAACTATAGACAAAATGTCAAACTTGTTACAGATTTAGGTTATAAAACAATAACAATATAGTTAAGAAATGAAAGCCGAAAAAATATATATTTGCAGAGTCGGCCTGTTCTTTATAATTTTGCTCCATATACTGAAGCTCATTTCTTTGTCCTATATTGGTTTACATAAAGAGAAGTGTCAGTAATGTGGGCCTGAGGAGGTAGTGGTATCACCTCAACCTTCTTCTCTGTCCTGTCATTGGATTTTGATCATTACTTATGCACACACACACAGAGGTTCCCTGACTCCTTAGGGTGTTGCACAGGAGGTGCTGTTTTCATTATCTCTCCATGCAGCCTGATAGGTCTCTGAGCATCAGGGCAGGTCCGGCCATTTCACGTGAATCATCCTCAGCTGCGGCTGTTGCTTCCCAACGGCACACAGACATCAGGAAAACTTAGGAAGGTTGAAAGAACCAACTCAGATTTTCAGGTAAAGTCACTAATATTTATTTTTGTTCTGTTTTAGGCTTTTTAGAATTGCAGTTTATGGTTTAATTTTTTTTTCTTATTTATATAAAACAACTTATATAACTTATACGTAATATTATACTATATGTTAAATTTTTTTATCAGTTACTTGCAATTCGTGGTTGTTTATCACAGGGTGCATCGGCAATCCTTCATGTTATGTATAAGTTTAGGATTTAATAATGGGTCAAATAACTTTCATTAGCAAATATTAAATTATAATCAGACAGGTCTAAGACTGATATTTTTATTACTGTTTGATTCAAAATAAAAAAAATTTATGCATTCCACTAATTCAGCTAATAAAATCAGACTTAAAATATCTCATATTTGTTACATTCACTTATATGTTTCATTTATTTCTTTTAATCGTTATACTAATGGCGGACCACTAATTTATCCTTGAAATGAATTTTCTCAGAAAATTAGAAGACCAATAAAATATTTTTATTATAGAAATGGTGTGTTGTGGTAAACGTGAAAGCTCAATGGAGGCTACGCTCCAAAAAGTCATTGTTCAGAGAGTGCATCATGCAAGGGTGTTAATGGAAAGTTTGGTGGAGATAGAAGACCATTACTAACATTTTAGAGTCACTGAATTTGATTTCATTGTCTTCTTTGGAATTGGATAAAAAATAAATCTTATAAAGGCTAAGGCTGTATGTTCCATACATTGGGAATATCTGATACCTGATTTATGTTCTGTTTATTTTCTGTAATGATGCTGATCTTGGCATCTTTAGAACAAAATACTGCTTTGGTTTTCTAATCTTTTTTTCTCACAACTGTAGCTTTCAGATTTTCCTGTGCGCTGTGTAGCATCCAGTGGGATTGGTATGCCCTGGGCCAGACCACCTGTGGACCTTCATGCTGGTGCAGCAGAGGCCATGGATCAATACAACACAGATGACCACCACTATGAGGGCTCCCTCTTCCCAACCTCCACCCTTATCCCCGTCACAGTCATCTGCATCCTTATCTTCATCATTGGGGTGACAGGCAACACCATGACCATCCTCATCATCCAGCATTTCAAGGACATGAAGACTACCACCAACCTGTACCTGTCCAGCATGGCTGTGTCTGACCTTATTATCTTCCTCTGTCTGCCCTTTGACCTCTACCGCCTGTGGAAGTATGTCCCCTGGGTTTTTGGGGAGGCGGTGTGTCGCCTCTACCACTACATCTTTGAGGGTTGCACCTCGGCCACCATCCTTCACATCACTGCCCTGAGCATCGAGCGCTACCTGGCAATTAGCTTCCCACTCAGGAGCAAGGTCATGGTGACCCGGCGCCGTGTCCAGTACATCATCCTGGCCCTGTGGGGCTTTGCCCTGGTCTCTGCAGCTCCTACGCTCTTCCTGGTGGGGGTGGAGTACGACAACGAGACCCACCCTGACTACGACACCGGTCAGTGCAAGCATACTAGCTACGCCATCAGCTCTGGACAGCTGCACATCATGCTGTGGGTGTCCACCACCTACTTCTTCTGCCCAATGCTCTGTCTCGTCTTTCTTTACGGCTCCATCGGGTGTAAACTGTGGAAAAGCAAGAACGACATGCAGGGGCCCTGCACTCTGGCCCGAGAGAGATCCCACAGACAAACAGTGAAGATCCTAGGTGAGTGAGTTATCCCGTCTCCCAGAAGCAGTCAATACATCTATTCACAGTGGTAATTAGCAAGAGGCAGAAATAGTCAAGTTTTCTGAAAAATTAGAGCAAAAATCATCCATCCATCCATCCATCCATCCATCCATCCATCCATCCATCCATCCATCCATCCATCCATCCATCCATCCATCCATCCATCCATCCATCCATCCATCCATCCATCCATCCATCCATCCATCCAGTTAACCGTAAGGCTGTGACTGCATGGGAAAACAATAATGGCTCCACAAATCCTCCTGTGCATATTTAAAATAGGTGCCTTTAAGAAACCAGTTACATAAAGCACTGTGATTTACATCACTAAACATCACTAAAGAACATTTTTGTCATATTCTTCCAATTTTACCATTCCCCAAACAGAAAACAGAAAAAAAGAAAAAAGTTCCAATAAATATTTAGAGAATTAACACTTTTTTTGAGTTTTTAAACATAATTCATTCTAATGTATCATTGTGACGATGAATGAAAATTCCTATCATGACGAGAAATTTTGCACAATAACGATAAATTACATGATAAATGGTCGCACCTACTTCAATGCTTGAAGTCACTTGACTCATCTTGCTAACATCAGCTGATTTAGTTAAGAGTTAACTATACTCTAAAATCAACTAGATGGAAAAAACAACATAATTTGTGTTATTTTGCTCAATCCTGGTTCAAATATAGGCTGCTTTTAGTCTGGTCAGTATTTGGGCAAAAATGGATCAAAATGACTAATATTCAGGCTATAAAAATATTTGAATAAGTAATTCTTAACCTATTTAATAAACTAAACAAGTGGTGTCTGTTGTATTAAAAATGTATAGTATATCTGGATCAGCAGTTACCACATTAAGAGATGAAGACAGAGAAGATCCCAGTAGATTTTCTAAGCTCCACATTTCCTTTATAAATAACCCCAGAGGTAATCAGAGAGCCTGCACAAAAGATTTGTTTCCACACAGTTTCACCCAAAATAACACAACTTAAGTCATCCTTATGTCGTGCTTTTCATCCCCTGAAACCAAGACAAACAGATTAACTAAGGTCAGCTTTATAAAATTGTCTTTGTGTGGAAAGAGCTTTTCAAGCTGAAATGCACCTGTTTGTTCAGTCAGTTTGCCTTTCAGTGTAGCTGACGCCATAAAAATACCAGCCTGACAGACTGGAATCCAGGACTTCTGGTTTTCTGCACCGGCGTCAGGAGCATTATCGAGCAGCTTGAGCTGCTTCTTAATCAACCTCTGACATTTCTTTAGATTAAAAAACATCTATGTCTCCTATAGCACTATGGCTTTCCAGTGATTTGCTCTTCATTTGATGAAGAGAGAGCGGCTGCCATGTGCTCTGTTGCTGATACAATCTCTTTAATTAGTCTGTTTTGTCTGAAGCTCATCATGTCCTGCCACTGCTCATACTGACTGGCCTCATTTGAAGCTCTGGTATTCTACTTTGCAGGAAGTAAGAGCATAACCATACTGGAGCATCATTTCCAAATGTTTCATCATAATCCATTTATTATTCAGTCATTTCTACTTTTTGCTTGAAAAGTCCTGAAAAGTCCCCACAAGTTGATTTTCTTCAGAAACCTCAGTAAGTCAGTTTTAATAGGATTTTTCCTGTAAGTGCAGTCCTGGAGAGCCCTTTTCATCTATGCGTCATCTTGCAGTAACTCTGCTCATTTTGTGCATGCTGTTGTTTCTAAGTAATTAGGCTAGACACACTTTCCTTTAATTAGCGGTCTGGCATTTATTTTCCTGATAGAAATGAGTGCCTACATTACAAACTGACAATGGTTTCATCTACAAGGATTCTTGATCAATACTGGTGACTCAGTGATTAGCTCACTCATTACACAGATCTATGTTCTGTGTTGAACTCAGTTCAACTCAGTTTATCTTTATAGCTCCAATTCACAGTACAAGTCATCTCAAGGCCATTTACAGAGAGAATACAGTCAGATTGGCAAGGAAAACCAGTTGATTGCATCAAGTCATAGATGTGCAAGACATGCTTTTCATGGAAAAGTATGCTACAATGTTCAGCAAACCCTCACAATGAGCATGCATGTTGCGAGAGTGGAGAGGAAAACTCCCTTTTAACAGGAAGAAACCTCCAGCAGAACCAGGTTCAGTGGGAGCGGCCATCTGCGGAGGCCAACTGGGGTTCAAAGAGACAGAAGCAGAGATACAGAAAGAAGCAGAGATACAAAAGGCTAACTAACTAAGGTTAACAAACTCCACAGGCGGGCCCGTCCAGGAAATACATACCCAGGCAGACGAGCTCCAAGCCAGTTCTTTTAGTCATGGTAAAAAAGACAGGACTACCCTGGAAACGTCCCAATCTCCATCGTCTATAAACAGAGATGTCGATGGCAGCAACACAGTTATGAGTGGAACTTTACAAATACTGCAGAAAGGGAGACTAGAGAATCAAACAGAAGGAGTAAAAGTGGTTCCTATGTCATCCAGCAGCCTAAACCCATAGCAGCACGAATACAGAAAATAGCTCAGGCTAAACTATTTTGGATGAGGCTGGTTCAGGCTTTTAACACTCTACCTCCACCTATCTCCCTACTGACCCAGAGGCTGAAGCAAACATCACTTTGTTTTTAATTATAAGATTTATCAAAAAGGAAGGTTTCAAGCCTAGCCTTAAAGGTAGACAGGGTGTCTGCCTCAAGGACTAAAACTCTTTGCTGGTTCCACAGGAGAGGAGACTGAAAACTAAAAGATCTACTTTTAAAATCCTAGGAACCACTAATAAACCTGCAAATTTAGAGCAAAGTGCTCTGTTAGGAACATAAGGGACAATCATATCTCTGATATAAGATGGAGCTTGGTCATTAAAGGCTTTACTGTATATGTGGGAAGGAGGATTTTAAATTCTATTCTTGATTTAACAGGAAGCCAATGAAGAGAAGCGAGGATAGGAGAGATATAATCTATCTTTCCCATTTTTATCAGAACTCTGGCTGCAGAATTCATATGTTCTGCACAAACGACTTTTCTCCAACATTTGGACTCTTTGCTTGTATTTATAGTAAAAAAGATAAGAACGTCAGTATTTAAGGTTGCTACATCCTACTGCAATTTATACACAAGTATAGAAGCAAAAGTATTGGGATTTCATGTAAAATATCAGCACAAAGTAGCTGATAATTGTAAAGGGAATCATTTTCTCTTAATAATTAGATAGTGTGCATTTGAGGTCACTCCTGCTTATTCTTTAAATTTTCTAACATTGTGTTGATCTGTCAAATGAAATCCCAATAACACCCAACTGGTGAGACAAAATGCAATAGATTGTATAAATACATTTGGGCAAAAGAAAGTTTGTATTTCTGCATCCTCTATGGAAGATGAATAGATTTGCTTCCCTGGTGAACAGGCCTCCAGATTAACAGTTAAATTAAATAAAATTATTTAATTATAGTTAATGCATCATAAAACCTTTTGTAGGTAGCTTGCGGTATTTTATAAAACACACATCATCAAAGGGCCTAGTGGTTCAAGATTTAAATTCAAATTGCTTGGAACTTTCGAAAAAAATCACATAAGTCATAAGACTGATAATATATTGCTAGATAACAGCAGATTAGATTAGATCCGTTTGGTTTAATCTCTCCACAGCTTTATTGCAAACACTGACAACGTGAGATTTATAGCTGGGGGAACATTCGTCACTGTAACCTGCGAGATTAATTCAAGCTTCATGGCAAAACCAAACACACACAATAGCCACACTTATTGGCTCATATGCAGCACAACCACGCATGCATTATAGGTTCAAATCTTTGCTTCGTGTTTGAAGGAAGGTATACCGACACTGTTAGAGGGCCTCATTCACATTTATGTTATATAACGACTAGGGGTGAGTATTGGCATTGGTGTTGCACTACAATACGTGTCATGATACTTGGGTCACGATACAATATTATCACTTTATTGCAATATCACCATATTTAGATATTTTTCCTGCTATCAAAATTAGATGTATAGATAAAATAGCAACCTCTGTATATGTTCATCAAATGATATTGATCACTAAGTTATTTTGGTATCCATGTTGCCTGGAGTTTGAGTCAGTCCCCGTCTTTCAAAGTGACTGTCTGTACTACAGATATGGCGTTGCATCGAACAGCAAAAGGGCTCCACAGGATCATCTGCCAGAGTGGAGGTACAAAGGTAGCCCGTTTTCCCTTAGTATTAGGTAAAAATGTTTTGCTTGAAAAAAATCGATACTACAGTAGGAACTTAAAGATCAATATTATATCAGGTAGCCAAAAATCAGGATATATTGCCAAAATGATATTTTTCCACAACCCCACTAACAACCAAACCTTCAGTGCATTTATTAGTAGGCTGCATTATTTAACAAAAAAAAAATCTTAAAAGTGCTCTCACTGGTTTGTGTTTAGCTGCCTTCTGGTATCCCCAGAATAAATGAAGAACAAGCTGGCAAATTTGATCTAAATATTAACTTAGCTGTTCTGAAAAGTTCAATTATGCTTGTAAATATTAGTGAGCAACAGTGGTGTCAAAAGTCCACACATTTGTTACTTAAGTAGAAGTATAGATACTGCAGTTTGAAAAACTCTGGTAAAAGTTGAAGTATTAGCTTGACCTCTTTACTCAAGTAAAAGTGAAAAAGTATGTGCTCCAAAACCTACTTAAAGTATAAAATTATAAAGTAACCTTTTAAAAAACAGCCAGATGCCACTATATGAATTAAAAGCCCAATTTTTCGATTATTTTAAAATATTGCCGAGGACGAGGGAGGTCTGGTTGGTCTCTGTCTCCCGATACACTCTCACCTGTGTCGGACCTTTCAGACATTTCAACATCTTTTTGTAAATCCGACATTGTAGCATGGCATAGATGATTCATGTTTGCAGTCTAAAGAAAACCTGCTTGCTTCTGATGATTTCCTTTAGCTAACCAATGAGTGTTTGAGTTATATGACTCATCCAATTACACCAGTTTTTTTTTTGTGATTTTTTTTCATGCTTGTGTGTTAAGGACATCAGAAATGTTATATTAATCAGGCACTTGGGTCACCCTTGTTGTAGCTTAAAGCCCTGCCGGCAGTGTGGGCTTCCCTCCAAAAAGGCCACAGTCAGTGCATACACGTCTGCTGCAGTGTTAATGGCGCTGTTCTGCAGCACAGCGTACTAAAGCTATTACTTGATGTGTTAACGGGTCGGGTTGCGGGTTAAATATCAACGGGTCGGTTCGGGTTCGAATTTGAATTGAAGATATCCGTGGGTGACGGGTCGGGTTCGGTAGTCATCCTAACGGGTACGGGCGGGTGCGGGTTGGTAAAACTCGACCCGTGCAGGACTCTAGTATAGATACCTAAAAAGTGTACTTAAGTACAGTAACAAAGTATTTGTACTTCTGGTGAAACAGCATCAAGAAGACCAAGGGTTAAAGTCTATGATCAATATAAGGAAGAAGAGCCATATTAAGGCAAGCAGCTAAGAATCACATAGTTACTCTGGGGGAGCTGTTGAGATTCACAGTGCAAAAAAACACCATTTATTGAAAAGAATCAATAAGAGAGCAGTTGTTTAAAATCAGCCACAACAATAATGTTTACACCAGCCATATGTTTTGCAGTCAGGTAAAAAAAAACAACAATAAGAAAGTTTGTTGTAAAATAACACGATGTGAAGAAGTGCGAGGAATATGAAGACTCCTTTACCTTCCCCTTTCGTAGGGTCAACAGAAAAAACTGCAGACTGCCGGACCAGTTTTGGACAGCCTTTAGCTTTGCGGGTGTCATCATGCAATGAAAACACATGGATAATGCAGGCTAGTCATGCTGAGGCTCTTAATTAAACAAACCAAAAACATATGACAGTGCCTCCATTTGCATGTGTCACACACAATGCTTGTAACAAAACACTCATACTCTTCCACTTCTGTACGTTAATATATTCTTAGATCACCACCAAAACCTGCTGGTGGGCACCACAGGCCTATCTGTACTCATTGATATTCTAAGTTAGTTAAATATATTTGTCATATTTTGAAGCTTCATTTATGTATTTTTCTGTTTCTCTGCAGAATAAGGTTTAATAGGAGAGCTAATCTGTTGGTTGTTATATCGTGAAGTACTGTGAATGCTTGGCAACCTTGCTGTGAGCATTTTATTTCAAGTGCATGCAGATTAGCCTTGCAGTGTGCAAAGATGAAACACTAAAATCCTTGGTAACTGACTTTAATTTTATGGATACTTTTTTTTTATGTTGTTCGTCATCTAGGCTCTCAAATTCTTGTTCTGATTTATTCATTTTTCCATTTTTTTTAGTGGTGGTGGTGCTGGCCTTCATCATCTGCTGGCTGCCTTACCACATCGGCAGAAACCTCTTCGCCCAGGTAGACGACTACGAGACGGCCATGCTGAGCCAGAACTTCAACATGGCTTCCATGGTGCTCTGCTACCTCAGTGCCTCCATCAACCCCGTTGTCTATAACCTCATGTCCCGGAAGTACAGAGCTGCAGCCAAGCGCCTCTTCCTGCTGCACCAGAGGCCCAGGCAGGCCAGCCGCAGCCACAGACAGCTCTGTATGATCGATCACATCTCCACACTGAATGAAAGCCTCACTGGAGTCTGATAACATGCTTGGTTTCACCACCTTTAACAGGGAGTTTATAGCTCCTTTTAAAGGTTTAGGGCTTAAAGTAAAATGAGGTTCTTTCTGAGGATGTGCAGGAGACATATATAATCTTTAAGAGGGCTCTTCAATGCAAAAAATATGCTATTTCTTTTTTGTTTATTATGACTGCCTTTGATGATAATATAGTCCTTGACATAACTGCATGGATTCAGTGTTCAGTACTATACACCTCCAGCAGGAGTATGTACATTTTGTTAACATCTATAAATTCAGCTCAGTTATCTCTGATGTTTTTGGACAGACATGTATGACTGTTGTCTTTTCTAACTATTCACCAGCCACATGTTGGTGTATAACTCAGTTTTATGTAATGTACAGTGAGTCAGGTTTAATGGTATAATATTCCACATTTTCATATCTCATCATGTTTAACCACACATTTTAATGTATGTTTAGGAGCACAACTATAGGCTGCCAAGTCATTTGGGTTAAATTTGAACCTTTGCACACTGAAGCTTTCACCAATTATTTACAAATTCCTCATATTCCAATATCTTAAATGGAATTATCCTATTAAGTTTGTCAACTTTAATCTTGTAGAGCTGCTACAGATTGTCAGTTACGTTTAGGACGGGACTTCCTGTTGCACTGTAACACATGCAAATATATGCCTTGATCCAAAATGTTGTGTTGTAACTGTAGTTGTATCTTTGGGGTTGTTTTCCTGTTGCTGGAAGTCTTAAGACTTCCGCAGTAGAGATTTTCATTCTGTGTTTAGTTCCATCCCAAAAGCATAATACAGCCACTGTCGTGTTCAATCATGGGCTTTTTGTATTTAAACCGTTATATAGGGCAAGTTTACATTTTTGATCACTTACAAATGGAGTCCCCCCCGTCCCTGATGAGGTCTAGAAGCACAAGGTCTATATCCAGCCATTCAGCAAAGATACTGCTACATGGCTGTGCATCTTATTTTGGCATTTGACCAATTAGATGAGACCTTGAATGATAGATTACCTACTGTAAATTAAGTTGAAGAAAGGGTAAGTCAAGAAAAAAAAGGTAAAAAGTTAATTGGAAAGTTATAGAGTAAATTAAAAAAAGTTAATAAGCTTAGTTAACAGCTATATTAAGGTTTATAAACTAAAAAAAAAAATGTAAGTGCCAGTATCAGCATTAATGCCTCTAAGGTTATGTTGTACCAAAAAAAATTTGTTTTTCATGAATTTCTTATAGAAGCACAGCTGTTATTTTTCTTAATATATTTGGGCAAGTTGGCGTTTCTTGACATTAATTTTTTCCATCAAAATATCCATATTTTTTAATGTTACAAAGGTAATAAGATCTTGTCCTGGATTCCAATAACACTATTGGCTTAAAATTTTTATTTTCAAGGTATTTCACTGAGTGCCCTATAAAGGGTTAGGGTAATGTTGATTGATACATTAATTTTCATTACATAAAATGCATGTAGGCCAAAAATATAGAATGATCTTCCCTTATCTTACAAGAGCCCTCTCCATGTGTTTGTTGTGTCCCCTACATAGCATAAAGAAATCTTTATGTTCACTTTCGGGAAAAATATCTTTTCCATTTCAAGCGCAATCAGATTGGATGGAGAAAATTATTTCCACAGCTTGATGCAATCGACTTCATGAGTAAGGGAACATGAAGATGTCACTACAATAACAAACATAAACAGTTGCTTTTTTGTGTTACTTGAATATTGTCTTTCTTCTCACTTCTCTTTCATGTGGGACTTATTTCTTATGTATCAACGGGTTCTGTTATCTGCCATTTCACTGCTCCTCCAGAGCTGTTTGGCTGCTTATGATTAATGCTCTTTCCCAGCTTGTCAGTTTAGGTGGATGATGGTGTCTAGATAGGTTTGCAGTTTTGCTGTTGTCTTTTTACTTTTGGAAGATGGATGGACCATTGCTCCATAACTCTGTGTTTTTGGTCTTCAGGATGCTGGGTGATTTGTTTTTGTTTCCCCAGTTTTTTTTATGTATTTTTTTTTTATTGTTCTATTCTGTAAAAAACAAAAAACAAAACAAAAACTAAAGCCTTCACAGATGGCTGTTTTATGCTGAGATGAAACTGCAGACAGATGAACTCTATAAAGTAATTAGTGGACTTCTGAAGGCAACTGGTTGCATTTTATTGGTGATTTCTTTTTTTTTTAACTTTAAAATATTACCACATCCCTTAGAATTATATATTACCTTTGGTTCTGTCACATAAAACCAAAATAAATTTAAAAAAACACAGAGACTCAAAGTGTTACATGACAGAAAGGGAAAAAGTAGAAAAGGTGTTACTAATTTTACAAGTTAGAGTATGCAAAACATTTTATATACCGGTATATATATGTTTGATATTCATAGAAAATGAAACAAAATAAAACTTCTACAAGCAGCTTTTTGATCGTGTTGATTTGTAAGTGTGTGAGTGTAGCTATGTGTGAATACCCTGACTAGAAGCTTGATGAAAGAAGATTCAAATCAAAGTAGGACACTTTTGGTTTGTGGGTGTATGCATGTGTTTGTGAAAGATACTGGGGCCACCTGAGCCCAGAGGACTCAAGCCTGCGTATGTGCTGAATGTCACATGTAATCTGTCATATCATATATAAATGTTCTCTGAGTTATAGAGATGTTGCTAGCCGACATCCCTGCATTCAAACTAACAGCTGCCATCAGTATTTTCTGAAGAAAAAGAAAAGGATTTGAAATTATTTTTATGATACTTAGAAATTGTGGTCTATTAGTTCCCAATTAGGAATGTGATGGTTGAATTTTGTGTTTTTACCTTAAATCAAACTTTCTTTGGAAGGACCTGTTGGATTTTTGCAGATGAATCATCAGGGCAAGGTTTACTCAAAAAAAAGTAGTCGTTGTAGGATGGCTAATTCACCTTTTTTAGTTGTTGTTTTTAAACGCTGTCGTGCACATCTTTGCCAGAAAGGATGAGGAAGCTTGTTAAAGCTCATTCACAGCAGATGATCCTGACATCACCCAGAGGAAAGATCAACAAGCAGCATGACCCCTCTCTGGGTTGTTTGCTTTTTCTGGATAATGAAGGGCTGCTACAAGTGGTTGGTTGATATACCTGCCCTGGAGTGTTTCCCACAAAACCTAACTTCATGCAGCTTGCTTGATTTTACTTTTATTTAAAATCCATGACTCCTCAGGAAAACATGCTAATTTACCGACTGCAGTCAGTGCTGTTCAAACTACACACATAGCTTTAAAATAGTATCAGACAAAGAAGAAAAAAGTGCAAAAAAAAACTGTTTTCAAATAATGATTTCATTTATTAAAGTTAAAAAAGAAACTTTTTTCACCAACCGGGCACAATGTGAAAAACTAATGAACTCTTTAGTAAATCATGAAGGAATTGAGATTACAGCCAGATTACTACTTTTGGATGTAATTTACCAGAGGGGCCAGGATGGGGCCCGTGGTTTTCAATTGGGGCATAGAATAAAAAAATAACACACACAGAGAAACTATGGCAAGAACACATTGTTTAGTATATAAAATAAACTGTATAAAATAAATAAGCCACAAAACCTCATGATCTGACAGAGAGAAACTCTGATCACATATCATCATAGGAAACTGATTTAGTATTACACTGCAAAAACAGATCTACGAAATAAAATTTTCTGCATTCGCCCTTGACTTAAGCAGGTAAATAAGGTGATTTACCAAAGGAATGAAATTATGATTTATTAGGCACTGAAATTTTTTTTTTTTCTCACTGTAAACATAAATCATCTTATTCCATCTGCAAATTTTATAACCTTCTTAAATTAAGGGAAAATACACTTAGTGTACAGTACAAAAACAAACTGCTAATATTGCTGTATGTTTTTAGAACAGGTGTGAGGACCTGTTCTACGGGGGCTTGGGCTCCTGTGGCATCCTGTCTTTAACAGAGACCTGTTCTATGGGGGCTCTTGCTCCCGTTGGACCCTGTGTTTAACAGGGACCTGTTCTATGGGGGCTCTGGCTCCCATGGGACCCTGTCTTTAGCAGGGACCTGCTCTATGGGGGTTCTGGCTCCCGTTGGACCCTGTGTTTAACAGGGACCTGTTCTATGGGGGCTCTTGCTCCCGTTGGACCCTGTGTTTAACAGGGACCTGTTCTATGGGGGCCCTGGCTCCAGTTGGACCCTGTGTTTAACAGGGACCTGTTCTATGGGGGCTCTGGCTCCAGTTGGACCCTGTGTTTAAAAGGGACATGTTCTATGGGGGCTCTGGCTCCCATGGGACCCTATCTTAACAGGGACCTGTTCTACAGGGGCTCCTGTCTTTACTGGCCAAAGCTTCCTTAAAAAATATTTTTTACAAAATCAAACAAGGTGAAACTAAAACCTTTCCACTGGTGAAGTTCTGGATATACTATATGGTCAGAAGAAAATCTTTTTTTTAATCTTAAATGCAAAATGTTTTTTTTATTTTTTTTTTACAATTTTGATACAATTTCTGCTCTAAGTGGGTCGCTCTGTCAGCTAAAGGCATATTTCACAGTCTATATACTCCATTTAATGAGTAATTGATTGCTTATTTAATTGGCGATTATTTCAATGATTGATTATCACTATTAACCCGATTAATTGTTTCAGCCCTACACTGATCTAAAGTAGTTAAAGAGCAGATACAGTAAACAACATATTCATTAACACGTATTAGGCTGGAAAGGGTAAAAAAGGCTATTTTTCTTGGAGACTGAAAGGAACAAAAGTGAGAGATGATATGCACACATGGCTTCAATGACACAACATCTCATCCAGAAGATCACTAAAGGACCAACAACATCTAAGCACTACAAGTCTTTATTAAAGTTGGTTTATGAGGTCTACCAATTCTAAAATACTACATTAGCTGAGACGATGCTTACAGTTCAAAGAACATTTGTAAGCACATCGTCTATAGCTTTGTTCTAAGTGTTCACATAGAAATCTGTCCTTAAGGGTGAGAAAGCCTCTCCCTTCATGCTCCTCAAAAACTCTATAAAATGGGCATGTAGGCGGAGCAGTGGTTAGTGTGCCTGACCCATCTACGGAGGCCATAGTTCTGGACCTGCTTGGCCCGGGTTTGAATCCGACCTGTGGTACTTTGCAACATCTCTCCCCCTCTCTCTTATCCCCTTTCCTGTCAGCCTGCTGTAGCAAAAAAGAGCCACTAGTGCTGCAAAAACTCTAGAAAATTAAATAGAATTCACTTTTTAAAAAAAAGGAATTCCATGCAATGATTGACGAGGAATGGCTGAAACAATCCTCTGCCTAAGCATGGCCTTTCCTCTTTTATTTAGAGCAATATCAGCATTATTAGATGTGTTATAAATAATGATGTAGTAATTGCGAGTAAGTGAGTAAATAGTGTAGTAATCGTAGTAAATTGTGAGTAATTATGTACAAGAATGTTTGTTATTTTTTTGTCTGTGTTTTCTTTGCTGAAAAAAAAATGCATCAAAGGTTTGAGAAGGGAAGATTTTGCTGAAGGTTTTTGTGTGAATTGTTGCTACTCCTATCAAGAGCTGCTGATTTTATTTAATTTAGTCATTTAACCCTATGTATTCCATCTTAACCCTATGTATTTAGCAAGTGATAAGGTCATGGATTTATGTGTAACAATTTGTATCATTGCCTAATTCCTAAAGCGTTGTTATAAAGCTTAAGGGAGTAGCCGCCTAGTGGTTAGGGCATAGAGCTAGGAATCCTAAGGTTGTGAGTTCGAAATCCACTGCTACTCTGGGTCTCTGAGCAAGACCCTTAACCCCCGATTGCCCACCAGGAACCCCACGATGGCAGCCCACTGCTCCCCAAGGGGATAGGTTAAATGCAGGGGTAAATTTCTCAGATGTGTGATCAATAAAGTTCAATTAAACAATAAATAATAATAAATCCCCCCAAATGTCGGTTTTAGTATCAAGAAAACAAAATTAATTTT